TCCATAATGTGCCGGTATCCATACAAAATTTATAACTTCACCCATCATATATATTCTATATAGTGTCTGTTGAATTTCTATTAAAATATCTGGCCTGCTTTCTGACGGTCTATACTGCAAACTAATCAAAGATGAACTAGAATCTGAACATATGACTGATCTTAATGGCTTAACTTCTTCCACCCATTGAACAGCTAATAATATTGCAATCATTTCTCCCGTATAAACTGAAAGTCCATCACTTATCCTTTTCCTAATTTTAACATTAAATTCTGGTACGATAAAGGCTACTCCTATTTGATTTGTTATATTTTTAGAGGCGGTGAGCAGGGTTGTTTCTAAATTAGCAGTTTGGCTTTTGGAGGGAGAGCGCCTGATTTTATGTTAAGAGCGCTTCAGGCGGGTGGACATTAGAAACTGTCAACTTGCCCTTTCCTGGTTTAACTTGACAGTATGGAAAGATGTTTCTAATCCGATTTATGAGTTCTGTTTTTAATTTAAATAAATTTAAGAATAGGATTTGAAAAAAATACTTTTTCAAATTGCAGTATTTAATATCGGATCATTTAAAATTCCCTTTTAATAGCTGAATGTAAAATGTGAAATTGTAAAACCCCTTTCCAAATAGGAAATAGAAATTTTAAATTTGAAAATGGTTGCATTTCTTTTTCAGTGACTTTCCTGGACCTCCCTACTGACTTTAAGGCAACCTTTTCACGCTATGTATACATCTCGTTTTACACCCAAAACATCAAACTTAACACGGCTCACTTAGATAGACTAAAGAACTGAACTGAAATGTTGTCCAGAAAAAGTAAAGAAGTTTTAGAGTTTATTGTGTTTATTGTTATAAAATAACTCCAATAAGTAACCAGTATAGGTCTAATTCTCTCTGCATTTAATTAGTCTACATTTTACCACGTATTTGAAAGAAATGTCACCTCAGGACACCCTGATTCAAAGAAGAAGAGGAAGATGATAACAGGGGGAACTGGGCTGTAGTTTCCTGTGTGACTCTTGGTATAGAATCACAGTTTTTTTAAGATGGCGGTACTTTACTTCTTGGGCCAATTTTAGAAACAGGAAAATGCTGTGTGAAAGAGTGCAAGAGAAAGGGAGTTTTCATCAAAACAACTCAAATCCTGATGTAAAATAAGAAAGAAGAAGTTGAGCTTGAAAGAGTGCAGAGACCACATGAGGGGCAGATTGTGGAAAAAACACATCTCTTTCACATCCTTCCAGTGCTGCTGTCAGGTATCCCCCCTCCTACTGAGGTGTAAGTGGGAGGGGTAACATCACTGGAACAGAAAGTTTACTCATTCTAACTCTGACATTTGAATTCAAAAATAATCCAAAAACAGCACATATTTTCATTTTCATCTTCACATACTCACAAAAAGTGATTATGATGAGGTGGTCAGTGCATGTTTGGTTTAAAAATTTACATAAGAAAAGTATTCAATGTAAAAAAGCTGCACCTTCCATCAGTATTTGCATTTATTATTATTTAGCAACAGGAAATCATTTTTGCATCATGCACTGGAAACAAATAACATCTAAATGAGTCATTTTGTTTATAATTAGTGTTGCGCTGATGCAATTTTTTGGCCCAGATACCGACACCAGATACCTGGCCGCAAACACTGCATACTACTTGGATGTAAAACAATTACCATCATGGCTTCATCAAACTGCTGCCTACCTTTGTGAAACAGGAAAAAAACTAATATAAAGTGAATCCAGTAGAACTTTGTATTGCCTTCCTGGAATGGGGGCAATAGTTGAAGAAACTTCTGGCTCTCAAAATGGTATTGGCTCCCTCTTTGTTGGTACCGATACCGACACAGATACCATCATTTTAGTGCTGGATCGGGGCCCCACCTGATACTGATATCGGTCTCGGTGCAACACTTTTTATAATAGGTGCATTTTTTTTATGAACTGAGGAGGTGAGACACCTACTCAGTTCCTCAGGAACTACACATTTAAAATATTGTGTTGTCTTATTTCAAGGGCATTTTATCTAATTTTCTTATTAAATAGTAAAAATACTTATTCCATTATTACACATGCCATATTTAGGAATGTGTGTTTAATGTCAAAAGTCATTTATTAAGCTTGTGGTTTATTCAGGACAGAGCAGGGTATTTACCCTGCCTGATTATTCTATCTAAACCTTTCTGTTGTAAATTGCCTTGGTTCCTCCTTTGCCTTCAGAGCTTACCAAATGCTTTGTAGTACAGGTCGAAAGCTTAATTTTAGGTTTTAATTTTACCTTTTTAAATTCCTTAAAATATGAGAGATATTCCCAGACACTGCAACCTCCCAAGGTTCTCTTTTCAATATTCAAACTGAAGTTGACCAAACAAATAAGAAACTCAGCTTTGCTCATAGCTGATGGAATTCAGATTGTTTATCTTTTTTCTATTGTGCTGCTATAGGCTTAGACTGCTGGAGGACAAAGTAACCCCTTCTCATCATTCTGCTTCATTCTATCTCTAGTTCAACCTCTAACGTTCTCCTCTATATGCTTTTCCTTATCATAGTAGCTTCATCTGGTCTGTTCCTGTTTGGCTGTGACTCCATC